GAACCATTTCTTGGTAGATTAAAGGTAACTCTATATCGATACTCATACTTCCCAATTAAATAAAAAAAAGGACAGGCTGGAAGTGTGCGAGAGTAAATACACAATAGTGCACTCATAGATGCCAATTTAATTCTACTATTGCCTCTGACAAAACTTAGCTTGTTCCAAAAAGTAAATGTAATAAAAAGTTCGAAGATCAATGAAGATTTGGACACATTTTCTACATAAAAGTCCCAATCAATATTCCAATAAAATTAGAAATTGTTAATTCTAGGTAATAAGTATGATGGTTCATCTTTAGCGGTTCTACCACCGAGAAACATAAGCGTTAACCTACTAAGAAAGTCTGAATCCGAATTGACTTGTCACATCAATCGACAATCACTATGCATCATCAAAATCTCCACCAAGAAGTGTCATCTAGCCTTTGAAATAAGGTGACGACTGTTGACTTTAGGTCAATGAATAAGATGGTTCGTTTCAAACGGTTCTAATCGTGAAAATAAAAGCAATACCCGTCATGTTGCCATACCAACTTAACAATGTGGTGGTATCCGTTGTAAGATTTTTGAGATATGACGCCAAAAGTATACGTCCTCAAATTTACAGTACTACTAACCAACTCTACGACACGAACTAAAAGGTCTTCACAATTTTCCTCGACACTCATAACAATCTAACAGTAAGATACCATCCCGCATTTCGATTCTAATGTCTACCTATGGAAGTGATCGAGAGGTGGTTAGTCAAAGGATTTTCGTTTACCTAGATAAGTGATAGGGTGAAAACAACAATCATGAGCTTACCGTCCTATTGCAAAGCTTATTCCTGAGCTTCCACGATCCTAATTTATTCGGCTCAAGCGAAGTAGTTCATTGATCCTAGGAGGATTTAATGATTGCTTTTCGGATTTTTACAACTCCCAGGATATGACAACTTACATTCGCAAGCCTATTCTCACCCATTTAATAAGTACAACTACGAAAGCAAAAATTTGAAATAGCGTTGATTGAAAAATCCCAATGCTAGAAAAAGACCTTGCCTAAGATCTACTTTCAAAAAGACTTCATCGACAGTCGATCTTCCTCCTAAAGATCCAACATAAACCCAAATATGCTTGAAGATATTAGTGCTAATAGGGACCGAACAATAATTATCCCTCAGATGATCTTCCGCGAAATGTTACTAAGAAATCAAGACTAACTAAGATTTCCATTCTTTAAAGAATCAATACTAACGGCGGTAGGACAATGATAGAATTATTTGGTAATATCTCTGGCGATACATGATTATCAAAACATTTACTTAGGCCATCAACTCGCCTCACTTTTACACCTTTCCTCCACAAGGAAAATCTTTGTTTTAATTCTAAGGACAACCGCCAAAATGATTTTATAAAATGTCGTGAAGACAACATAATTGTCCAAAACTTAAGAAAAGTTAGCATATTTTTCCATATTCGACGAGGTGGCATCATTTGAACATCAAACACAAAAACCAAGAGTGCTCACATCACGCGTGTGATGAACACAATACTGCCCAACATATGCTCTGATACCAAACTGACACACCCCGACCCAGGAAGTCCACTTGGACCCTGAATCGAGCTGTGCTGGCCGACACCTGGAAGGTGACGAAGCCATAAAATGTGATAGTGTATAAAAAGTGAATGAATTTGATTCCAAAAGTGTATAAATACCAGAGTGCGCTACGAGTGGGAGCGAACCCATTTTCACGCGCGATGTCAGAGCATAAGTAAAGTACAGTAATGTGAGTAAGAATCATACCCTCAAAAATATCCATCAATACTAAGATTCGCCACAGATTCTTGTCGATATAAACTCAGCAGCTAAAACCTGGAGGGCACCAAACAGAAGGTGTGAGTAAGCAATAAAACCAAGCTTCCCAAGTTACTACCTCTCTGAAAGTAATGCCCCTAAATGTAAAACCCGTATCGTTTTCCATAAAATGGTACAACATATATACATATATCCAAACCATACTAGGAAATGACCAAAACCACGGTTTGCCGTCAAATCCACCATACATTAATAAGTAGGCCAAATGAACTAAATCAAATACAAAGGGATATATCAGTCAGAGTCAGCTAAAATGACATGTACAACTTATCTGTATCTCATCAATCATGACTAGCATATAAGTCGGAATCACCTATAGTGACCTGTACGACTTATCCATATCTCATCAATTCTGGCTAGCATGTAAGTCGGAGTCACCTATAGTGACCTATACGACTTATCCATATCTCGTCAATCCTGGCTAGCATATAAGTCGGAGTCACCTATAGTGACCTATACGACTTATCCATATCTCATCAATCCTGGCTAGCATGTAAGTCGGAGTCACCTATAGTGACCTATACGACTTATCCATATCTCGTCAATCCTGGCTAGCATATAAGTCGGAGTCACCTATAGTGACCTATACGACTTATCCATATCTCATCAATCCTGGCTAGCCAATAGCTCAATAAGTATACCTGCACACGAGTCGGAACCACCTAAGGTGGTCTGTACGACAGGACTGGGTGTAAATAAATACGCTCAAGTGCTACGATCACGTGAAGACTGGGCGAATAATCGCGGGTCACCTACGAGTCGGAACCACCTAAGGTGGTCTGTACGACAGGACTGTGCACCTACCTTGGATCCAAGGTGAGCATAAGGTGCGGGAGGTGAACATCACGTGAAGGACTGTGCCCTGGCCACGGGCGGGAGCACTAACACCGAGGTGCAGGTTTATGAGCTCTCAATGCATCTCAATATAACATGTGCAACTCATGACAACCAGTACAACCGTATCGAAGTTGCCTAACTCATAACTGTAGTCATGCTATAACGCAATCGATTCAACTAGTACCATAAACTCACCTGAACTTACCTGGGTGTCCTGAGTTCACATTTGCACTTGAAAGCATTCCCAATAATTATATGCAAGTAATATACATTTAGATATATCATGATGCAATCTACTACAAAACCATGCCGTAGCATTTTCAATTATAAACAATATAGGGTGAAGTGTACAATCAATAACGCCCTACTCCCAAACTACTTATTTTCAAGGATAATTATTCATGACAACCCAATCAAATCTAATTTAACTAACTAATTCACAATAACTAAAACTTGTCTTTACCAATTTCCTTCGCATTACTCAATTTCCCAAGCAAGGCTTTTGTCTCAAATATTTTATGGCTGCATCTAACGTCTCGTTAGACTGCCTACGTACCCTAAATAGGGATCAAGTCATTCGTAGTTCATATAGGTACTTTAAGCATTCACAATAATTATATAAAGGTAATATACCTAATCAATTTAAAAGTGTCGATTGAACTCTCAATAATATGCACAATAAAAAGGAAAAGATCCACTCACCTGGAGTTCACGCTATGATTCTCTAGCGCACGCATCGAGGCGTCCTGAATGATTGGTCCCTGTGACCAATTATCAAATCACATCTCAGAACTCTTATCCGTAGAATATGTAATTCACATAAAACACAACCTCAACGACATTCTAAAATAGCTTGAGACCCATTGACCACAAGTCAACCGTCGATCAAAGATCGACGGTAGGGTTTACAACCCTGTATAACCTGACCCGGAAGATCCGCACATCAGATTTCCAATCCGCAACTTCCAACGATCCACAATATATTTCTAGAATAACATATTAAAATTTCATTACGATCCAACGGTCAGATCTCCGCCAATTGCCTAAAACAAGTGGCCGTGAACATTTATTTTACTAACTTACAAATCCAATTCAGGAAGATCCGTAAGTCGGATTCCCGATCCGTAAATTCCTATGATCTTTAAATATTACGTATTATAATGTATCCAATTTTGGTGACGATCCAACGGTCGGATCATCGATTCACATTTTATCAAGTAACGTATTGTAACGAATTTAGGTTCCAACGATCAACCTACGTCATTCAAATGACAAAACTGAATTCAAGACATTTGACATAGCCTAAAAATAGCATTGGCGGCCCACTGGCCACGCGCCGCCGCACGCGCCGCCGCGGGTGGCGGTCGGCCGCCCCGGCTTGCCGGAAAATCCAACTATTTCCAAAAATTCTCAAACTTCACAGAAATGAAGATCTCAGTGAGTGGAGCAACTTTCATACCTGCCACGAAGTCCAAAAATGGACGGAAGATGGTCAATTTTGCCCACGAAGCCGGCGGGTGCCTAAAACTTCCCGACGTCGATTCGTCGTCCACGGTGGTCCAACGGGGTCAAGGTTGGTTGGGTTTTGCTCCTGGGATGATGGGCTACAAAGCCCAAGTGGTGGCATCGGCCATTGCTTTGCCGATTTGCCGGAAAATCGAAAAGGGTGGCCGGAGCACCATTGATTTTCGTCAACTTTCGTGGCCTCAAACCGCCTCATACCATGGTTAATCAAGGTGGTTCTTGGGTGGGTTTTGTAGAGGGGAATGAGAGCTTCAAGATGGTGGTGGTGGCATCGAAAAACTCCACCGGAGTTGGCCGGAATCGGCCTCGGAAAATGGGCACCCGCGGTGGTGCGGGTGGACGAAACCCACTTTTTTTTTTTTTTTTTTTTTTTTTTTTTGTTTCTTCCCATTTCTGATTGGGCCTTTCCCCACAAGGGGGAGTTTAATTTAAATAAACGTTAAACCTTGAATAACCAATTTCGAACGTCCGTAACTATACCGTTATAATCCGGACTCGCAAACAGCTTTCGCCGATACATTCGTACCAATAAGTACTACGATGATATGCTAAAAGAATAAGGCCCACATCTCTCGAGTCGATGGTCAACGGAAGTCAAAGTCCTTGCCTCTAGGGCAATTTTGTAAATTCACGCTTTTTAAATAAAATAAAAACGTAAAATTTGGGACGGGTTGTCACACTACGGGCCACACAAATTGTCCATCACCATTCTCTATACCCATGCCAGCTTCATCGATACCCCTAACATTCCTGCCTAAGTGCCGCATATCACAATATCTGCATCAGAAAGAAAAGTTATTATTAGTTTATTTTCTATGGTGTTTTAAATATAGACATATGAAAGCATGTATTTTATGCTCATGCAAAACAATCATAGGGATATGGATATCAAGAAAGTATATGAATAAACAAGTATAAACTTCACCAAATTATTCAATTGGGATTTTATTTTTTAAAGATAAATTCACATACAAGTATATGGAAGATTCACAAACAAGTATAGACATTGATATAAAGATAAATTCACATTTTGAATTGAATTTGTGAGGATAATTTAGGTATAAAATTGACGTAAAAAGGAGATATATAGGTTCAAATAAAAATTTTCAAAAAAAAAAAAACACGAATCCATTGTTTCCTTCGAGTCCTCCATTCCCCCACCAGTGACTACTTTTCTACCTCCGGCGAGGTCCATGTCATCATGGGTCCCATGTTCGCCGGCAAAACCACCGCCCTATTCCGCCGGATCAAGTTGGAGGGCAACAGCGGCAGGTAAATTTTAAATTTTTGGTTAAACCCAAGTTTGATTTGTGAAGATTTTGGGTAGAGATTGAAGCTTTGTGTAAGGTCGTGTTAAATCGGTACTAAATTTCCCTTAAATTTAATACTTTATATATTTATTTATTATTAATTTTTTATGTGAAGTTTCCGTGCTGGGCGCTGTCTGATCTGTCGTCGTTTCGGCAGAACTTTGGAGGAGATGCTTATGACAAGGTAATTTTGGAGCTGGGTAAGTGTTTAATCCTTTTTTTTTTTTTTTTTTTTTTTTGAAATAATTATTTGGGCTATTGTTTTACTTTAGTATGTTTTAGTATTGGATCTTGGACCTTTGAGTTCTGTAAAACAATTAGATGAAGGTCTGTCGTTTGCAGAAATGGATATTAGGGGGAGAGAGAAACGGGAGAGCGGGGGTGGAAGAGAAAAATGGCTGGGCTCTTTTGCACTAATTTATTTTATTTTAATTTTAATTTATTTGAGGTTTTGTGGTAAGGGAGGTTGTGGTCTGGTAACATGGCTTAAATAAAAGCAGAAACCATGATGTCTATGAACTGGACAAAGTTTTGTCCAACTCTTTGCTCTTTGTTCCAGTTCTTCTGCAAAGGGTGTGTCGGGCTTTTACACATAGAGTGGCAAATGCTTTCTCTTTGTTATCTGTTTTAAAGTACCAAGACTAACAACTATTTTTTGTTTTGTCTAAAATAAAGGACCAAAAACATAATGTTGCTCTTTTTTTTCTTTTCTGTATCTTTTACAAGCCATAACGTTAATGAAAACGTAATGTTGAGCGAAGAAGAACTCAGCAGATCGTATGTCACTCCTCCCCAACATTTTCTATATGTTTTCTTCAATTATTTGTTTTTGGGTTTGTTTCTTTCCCGAGAATAAGAAGCAAGAAACAGGAAAAATATAATATTGGACAGTTAATTATTTATCGAAATAATAGAAATTGCTTTTGGGTTTTTGCGGGTTCTGTTTTTTTTTTCTTTGTTGTTTTGTATTTCTAATTTATCGTTTGCTGCTGGACAATGGTGATTGTATGTTTTAGTTTGGATGTTTTTCTGATTTTGGGTTGGTCAATTTTTTTTGGGCTGCTTGAGAAAATGTGATCCCATGTTTTGATTGAGTGAAATAATTAAGAGAAAGAAAAAAAAGAGTGGAGAATTAAGAGCGATGATGGAAAAAAAAGATAGATGTGGAAGAAAGGGGGGACTTGAAATCGAGGAAAGTGAAGAGAAAAAAAAATGTGGGTTAAGTGAGCAGCCAAAAGAGAAAAAATGAGGAAAAAAAAGGCTTAATGTGGGGAGTAGGCGAAAGAGAAAAGCAAGAGAAGGGAGACAGAACAGGAACAAGGTGTGGTTTTCTTGTTGGTTTTATCCAAATTTTTTATTTGGAATTTGATTTGAAGCCTGTCTTATTAGTTTAGTCTAATTTAGTGTTGGTTTGTCTAGGTTTGTAGCTAGTTTAATGTTAATGTTGATCTAGGCGTTTTAATTTGTTGTGAACTCATATGGGTCGTTTTTTAATTGTTATTTTACAGTTGCTAGGAATGACTTTGGCTTTTATATTGGTTTGGTTTTTTTTTTTAATTTTATTTGAAGATTTAGTGTCATTATACACCTTTGCACCACTGTTTGTTCTGTTTTTCTCGGTTTCTGTATATAGTTTTGGTAGAATTGGACTGTTCTTTTTAACTTAATTAAAGTGTTTGAGACTTAATTGAATGAAAGTTTAGTTTGGTTTGATCATGATGAGGTGTTTGATGTTGGGTGTATGATCCTTAGGTCCAATGGAAATGTGTAATTCCCATCTTCCAGTGAAGCTTTTAGGACAAATTGTGGTTCATAAAGATCATTCACTGTATACAAGCATTATGATTTCTGGGATTTGATATTTCATTTAGTTTTGTTATGTTTGGAATATAAGTTTTTCAAATGGTTTGGTTCTTCTTGGGCCGTGCTATGCAAGAAGGTTATTGAAAGAATTTTTACTAAGGGTTCATCGAAGAGCTCTGTGTGTTTACCGTAAGGTACGGTGTTCATCGATCTCAACTTTTAATTTGTTTCTCAATTTTTTATAGTTTTGGATTTGTAAAAACTCTGGATTGAATCGGGTACTGGCATGGTCCCTTACAGGAGAAAAAAGCTTCATTTTTTTTTTCTTAAAATTATTGTTTTTGTTAATTTTTTCAGAGGAACTCAGGTGGTAGCTATATTACTAATTAGCTACAGAAGTTATATATTCTTATGAGTACGCTATGGATGCTGGTTTGCTGTGTCACTTTTTGAGATGAAATTACTATAAATACACAGGAAAAATTGGATTACTAAACCCTTATTTGGTTCTGTTTGATTGATTGTCTATTTAGGGTGTATTTTTGTTTTGCTTATTGGGTTCAGATTCATTTGGGTTTATATGTGATTTCCAGTCGATTATTTTTTTATTAGTTGCAGATCATATTTACTGTGGAAGTTTGAATCTTTGTGGTTGTTTCAGTGTAGTTCTTGGGTACACACACATTTATCCAATAAATAAGTTCATGACATTGTTATTAGGGGATGGACAGAAGTCCCAGGCAACAATCTCTCTGTAATCATCGCCGGGAAAATATCATGGTCATTTTGAGCTCGGATTCAGCCAGCATGTGGTAAGCGTTTCTTTTCCGATTACTTTCATTTGTTTATTTGTGAATCAATAACCTTTTTTGGAATGATGAATGTCACAATTGCTGGTAAATTGATAATTTGTTCAGAGCTTGAACTGTAGATCTGTGCAATTCTCGAGGACCTGCATCAGGTCCTCTCCCTGATCGTCCTAATGATTACAACACATATTACTCAATGAATCAAGAAAGATCCATAAGGTTGTAGTTGATTATGTTTCTTTTCGGTTTACTAACAAACACTCATTCAGTTACTCTCTAAATTTTGATGGCAATGGTGATAACCTTCATACGTACAGAAATTGCTTACCCTATTATCAGTGTTGTCAGTTATTAACATCGGACAAAAAAAATTCTTTTTTCATAAGCGTTTGTTTTATATTAGAGTTGCAATAATCTTTCCATACATGTTGTCATACCCCCATGAGCTTGCCAAAGGTACTGAGTGGTTGCTGATTTCAGGTTCACGTAGAAATGTGACTAGTGGGTCAAGTTCCATAAGGAGGTGGAAGCAGAAGAAGAATTGGCGTCACCCTTCAGTTTTTCAACCAAAAGGGGGTAACCTTTATAAATGATTTATACAAGCTTCTCTGTTTTGTATCTCTGAAATTTGAGTTCTTTGACTATAACTGTGAATAGTGATTGGTAAATATTTCGCATTTTTTTTTCTATGGGCCATTTGTGTTCTATTTGGGTTGTATTTTGAGTCATGTAATTCAAATTGCAAACAAAAGGCTAAAGAAGACAAATCCAGTACAGGCTCTCATGGAAAAGTTGAAATTGAAACTACACTATGGAATGTTAAATATTTAGTCTAAATCTGAAGACCGAAAATAAAATAACTATTGAGTAGAGTTAAATTTTTAGCCTCAAATATCGTTAGGTGGACACAAAATTTTGACCCCAACATCCAATTTAATTAATTCAATTTTGATAAGTGAGTTCAAGAGTTTTTCTATGACTGTATTATTGTATTTGATAAATGAATGACAAATTGGAAATAGTTTCTTACTTATGTTTTTCTTAGGTGTGTACTAAATTGGATGTTGGTTTGGTTATTTCCGAACTTTTCACATGACTTTCATTGCTCAATAGAGAATATGAAAACCCTAACCTTAATTTTGTAAATTGATTTGGGTACCTGCAAATGAGAAAAGGGTAAAGTTTCTTATCCCTTTAGTGTTTGATCCTGAAATTAATTTATCCGTGCGTCCTGGATCTCTGTACATTTTGGGTAAATTTCAACGACTTTCTCTTTTCGAATGCCTTTTTATTTTCTATTTTTGTCTTTGAGCTTCTGCTTTTTGGGCATTTAGGGTTGTATTTTCTATTTCCCAGTCAACTGGAAATATTGAGGGGGAGAAAGAAAAATTGCTCTTCAATAACTATGCTTCAATATTTCTCAGGGTCTGGTATTTGATTAATTAGAAATGACAGCTTTACTTGATTGATGTTTTTTTTCTTCTTTTTTTCTTTTATCAATTTAAGGTACTATGAATTGGGACCCGACAATCCACCATATGCTGCCAAGTTCTACGATTTTTGTGGGGCTGAGGATCCTGAGGCATCCAGCTGCACTACCAGTTTCCATGTTTCGTATAATGCTTATTGATCCATGTAATATCTCTCTTTTAAGTTTCATCATTTCATTCAGTCTTGCTCTTGCACTCTAACCAAGGTTCTGTATTTCCAATAATCTCATCTCTTTTATATAAACATGAAGTTGATGCGTAATTGGGTTTTTTTTTTTTTTTTTTTTTTTTTCTTCGTAAGGTCTGTGTTTATTTTCATTACTCTATTAATGTTTTCTGCTGTTGTTTATATAATTCTAAGAGGAGAGAGATTAATGGCATGAGGGTAAAAAAAACAAGGGAAGGAGGGAAGGATGAGGAGTGCACCTGTTGGCCTGTTTTGGCCTGAGTTCTTTTTTCAATTGGTTTGAGATTTTGTTTATGTTTGGGGTTCTTTTGCCCTAATTAATAATGTTTTGAATTCATATAGAATTTTGTTTATGTTTGGGGTTGTCATGTTGGAGTATTTAATTTGGTATTTGGTAGTTTACGTTACAGTTGTTGTTGGTTTTCTTAAAGGATAAATCCAAGCGATAATGCCTTTCTGATATATGTGCAAATGTAAACACTTTGTAGATTTTCAGTTTTTAAACAATGAGAAAATGTAACTGTTCAGACTCCAGAGTGCTTTGCCATTAAGGTAAATGATTTTCGTTTTTTGCTTTCTGCCTTTTGTGGTTAAGAAAGTTTAGTAGTTTGTTTATTCACTTATTAATTAATTGGTGAGATGAAGAAACATTTCACAGCTGGTTACTAAAACACTAACAGAATCTGACACAAGAGCTTTCGTTTCTTTTTCTTTGCTTGCATTAATTTTGTATTGTTTTTTTTCAGAAATTTTTGTGCATATTTTTGGGAATTTTTATTTGGTTAGAGAAAGGGGAAGAATATAAGGAGAGGAGAATTATATCCTTCTAGTTTCTAGAAGTTTTAATGCGTTTCTAGTCCTGCATTTTCGTAACGTCCGTACAAGTTGTCATTTAGATCTCTTGGTTTCTGGCTACTTCAGTTTTTCAGCATTGAATTGTAGGATTAAAGCTTTTGATTGAGTTCTTATTTAATTCCAGATCAGAATGGGTGCAATCTGAGCACTGCTAAAACTGCAAAGTTCTCCGAAATTTGTGAGAATGGCTGTGTCAGATATGGTTTATCGTCCATGCAAGGATGGTGTACCACAATGGAGGATGTTATGAATGCATCAAACTTTTCTCTTCCTATTAGAAGTTTTCAGAACATAAAATTCTTTTGTGTCTATTCTCAGAAGTTTCTACTGTTGTATCCTTTTCCGTCTTTATTTAGCATGCTATAGTTTGGATTCAACTGAATATGATTTTACTTGACATGTTCAATTGACTGCATAGATCTAATTCCATTGGCGGGTTATTATTTGTCCTTAGTCTGAATGCATCAGTAAACATTGTTTGTTTCACCACCAAGTACGATTATTGAAAACATGTATAATAGAGAATTTGTTTACTTTTTGATGGACATAGTAGAGAATTCGTAAACATGCGAATAGAAAATACTCTTGATAAGCACTAGAGAATGATGTTATTCATGCAGTTACGTCTGAAACAGTTGGTTCCCGTCGCAACGCGCGGGTTTATTATCTAGTAACAACTGTACTACAAGAAAAAGGCTCTTTTGCGACACTCTATTTGCAACAGAGCACACAGCCCTCGTAAATTCTCAATAATACAGCACGCAAGTGTTTGCGAGAAAACTTTTGCAACTCTGCTTTAAGTAATGTCGCAAATGATGTTGTGACGTTATCAATGTTTTTTGGTAAACTTGGCGCCTTCTTCTCAGATCTTCAATCAGGCTGGCCCCAAATCAAATCCTCTCCCTCACTCTGAGTCGCAGTCGAGTACCTCAAAGAAATCGACGAGGCTCGCTGTGATCTTCGCGCTCTCATTTACAGCTGTAGCTACACTCCGATTATGCTCCGTTTGGTATATGCTCTCTCTCTTTCTCTATTTGTTTAACGAGAAAATTTTCGATGAATGAAAAATCCTATTCCTTTTCTTGCGTTTTCTCGGCCAAACAGAACTATTGCATAGTGTTTCATACTTACAGAATGGCCTTTGATTTCTTTTTGTAAATGAAAGTGTTTGCATGCCATTGTTCGTATAGATTTTGGTAGAGTTTTGATTGATTGTTTTTGGAGGTGTGAACGATGCCGGGACCTACGATGCCAAGACGAAGACGGGTGGGCCGAATGGGTCGATTCGGAACACGGAAGAGTAATCTCCTGGTTCCAACAATGGCTTCAAGAAGGCCTATTCATTTTACGGTATGTTCGTTTCTTTGGTTTTGTATCGTCAAATCTTTATTCAATTTAACCCATTTTTTTACAAATAGTGCTACACTTACTATTGTACTATCATTGATACTATTTCTCTAATAGAGGTAGCACTCATCAATGCATGTGGATTCCATCTGTATAAGAGAGACGGTATAAATAGATTGTAAGAAGAATAACATTTTTGTTTTCTGGCTAATGTACAGATTATTTGTTTTTTAATTCTCTTGTTTTTTTCTTGCACCCTATTTTCTATCTAATTTTCAGCATTGGTTTGAACCAATCGCTTCTATTATATGCTGTTATTGGGTTTGAGATTGACCCTTGAGCTATTGGAGATTTATGATTTGCTTTGCCTCTGTAATTTTCGTAAACCCAAAAGTGATACTTGTAAAGCTGTGTAAGAGAAACAGCTGAATGCAAGCGGAAATACGACTTTGAGAGAATTCTCCTCTGTGCCATGGGGATTTGAAACTCCATTTTGACACTAGAAAACAGAAAAGGAAAAACAAATCCAAAAGAGAGATATTGAAGTAAGCTCAGTGTAATTTTCTGGATAAACAGCTTTTAATCATCTAATATCTTCATAAGCTTTGTCTTCAATATGCAGTTCTCGGCGTTGGCTGCGAGCTCCTTATGCAAATGGTTCCATGGCATTGCTATAAGCTACTCCATGTTAAAACTCAACCCACCTGTCCCCATCTCCTAGATTTCTTAATCTACTTAGAATGCTGAAGATTTATGACAAGTTTTCATGCTTGCATGTGTATCATTTTCAGTAAAATTCTTTGGGAAATGTTGATAGAAATTGAATTTCTTGTCGTTTTTTATCTTCTGATAATAGCTGCGCCACATTGGAGGGAACGGGGCTGTCTGACAAGGACCTCTGCAGTTTGATAACTCATGCTTTGTGTAAGAATTGAAAAAATGGTGAGAATTAATCGTTTTATGTCCTTCGGATTTTCATCTCATCTTGTTCTTCTTGCGTTCTCTTAGCAGTCTCTGTACATTTAGTAGTGTGATTAATACACTCAAATGAGATGACGGTGATGCTTTTAAGTTTTGACGATATTTATATATAAAACAAAAATTCATGTATTTCTAGTTATATCTATTTTATTCTTGTTGAAATGATGAAACTATGTTTTAAAAAAAAAAAAAAAAAAATTCATACATTATTGATGGTTCCAAAACTTCACTTGTAGGTTTAAGATAAAGACTACATGATGTCATTCAGTGGCCGATCTAGGAAAAATTATTTGGAGGGTCACGAGTAAAAGTTCACAAATATCTTTTAGACATATAATAACTTTAAAAATTAAACCATAGTTTCATCGGACATAATTTATGGAACAAATACCAATACAAGTTATAATTGTTCACGATGCATTTTTATTTTCACACTTGACATCTATTATTATCGATATTTTAGATTACGTTGATATGTTATCGCAATTTGCCACCGGTCATGTCACGTCGTGTATAGTTGTTAAAACATTTAATGGATATAAGGTTGATAGATTAACAAGGCGACGTCAACTTAGAAGAGATGTCATCTTATTTATGGAGGGAAAAACTAAACATATGGTTGTTGAGAGATTGCTACCATCCTTCATAGTCTTGATTACTCAGGAACATGGAAAAATGAACATTCATGATTAATTGAGGAATATTAATTTTGCTTACCAATCTAATGGATTTAAAGTTGACACAATATGAAATTAAAAGCATAATTCGTAGAAGAACAAAAGTTTTTGAAATCCATCAGTTCGATAGAAATCCCAAACGATATTTGTGCCCTTCCCATAACATTCTTGTATTGTCCTTGAGTATTACGGTCTAATGATATTCCTCTTTACTTGCAAGTGAGAGATCTTAGGTTTGATTTTCGTCAAAGGTGAATTTGAACCATATTATTGCTAGCTTATTGTGAGACGAAATTCACTCCCTTTTTCTTAGTATAGATAATATCGTTTGTTTAAAAAAAAAAAATTGATACAAGAAGCCATCCAAGTGTTAATATATATAGAAATTGATCAATATAATACAAAGACTTTGTGTAGAAGCAAGAACCATGAGCTAATTAATTAACAAAGGTTCTTTTCTGGTGAAATTAATAAGGCGACATCACCTTAGAAGAGATGTCATCTTGTTTTTTTTTTTTCTTTCCTTTTTTTCGGAGACGAGATGTCATCTTTTTATGGAGGGAAAAACCAAACTTATTATTATTATTATTATTATTATTAAAGTGGGACAACTAGTGGTGACAACTAATGGTAAGCCACGGTTATCCACCCCTTCTAGGGGCCTAAAAGACTTACAGAGGCATTTCAGCTTTCTCATGGCCACAGTCAAGCAGACTCACTAGCTTAGAGCCTCGAACTCGGGACCTCCCTGTTTTTTATTTTTTAAGAGCCGAAATGCGCGCCCTTACCACTTGGCTACTTGATGTGGTTGATTAATTTTGATTATTCAATAAACCAAATTCAATAAAAAATAGTGTTATGGAACCAAACTAGTTTAATATATTTTTTTTGAACTTTTATCTTGGGACCCCCCGATCTTGAAATCCTGGATCCGCCACTTCCTCTAGTACATCCTTTATACTGCTACAAGTTTGCTACTCGATTCATTTGCTTTCCACTTTCAGTACAACAACCTAAATCGATTTACTAAACAACAAAAGAAAACTGGTCTTTCAAGTTGAATACATCTATCACATTATGAAGGAATATTACTATTTGACTCACCACGGCTATCAGGACTAATTTTATTCTTCACTAGTCTAGACTATTATACATAAAACTAATGAACAATAATTAATGATTGAATTGAAAATTACCATTTTTGTTTACTTGTCTATCTAATGAATATAAAACCAAATTACCCAATAGTACATACTGATGAAGACTTATCCAACCATAATTTTTCTTCAATAAAAAAGACGATTACGGTGCATTTGCCAATAAAACTATAACGACGTCATTAAGTATAAAAAAGTCTTGAAAAACCGGATATTATATTGTGGATTATGAGATAACTCCTCTTACATCCCACAACCATAGAATGTAGTCATGAAAGTAAATGAAAAAATTAATGGGGAAAAGCTATAGTCTCCATAAGTGTAATTTTCCTTTGACAAAAAGTAATATAAAGCGTTCCAAAAAAAAAAAAAAGTAATATAAAGTTTAGTCGTGCCAACAATAATAATAAAAGTGCAACCTTTTTCCGAGGACCATACAAGTACAAGTCTGCTTCCCATGTCATCGTTTGTTTGTACCTTTATCTGTCCTCGAAATTTCCTTTCAACAAAAAAAGTTAACCCACTTCGGAAAAGTATACACCACAAAATCGTTTCTAGGTCCTTCAACCGCAAAATGGCTAACTTGCCGCCCACCAACCCAAAATGTGACCCGCACTATGTCCACACTATGCGATCCGAATGTACGTGTATTAAAGAATTGTCACTAGCATTATGCTTCGGTCAAAACGTTGTTTTATTTGTAAGTGAGATTTTAGTTTAGTTTTTGTAAATAACAATTTGAATTTTAGTTATAAAAGATTATTTTGTAGCTTAGCGGAATTTTTATGTTTAATAACGTTTTATTATATGTATACAATCAAACATGGGCATAATGCACATATTTCTCCTTTTACGAATGACATATTTCCATATAATCGAAACAATTCAATTTCGCGATCTTCATTTAAAGACCATACCTACAAAAATAATCATTCGAATCAAAGTTCTTTTAATCATCCAAATGTTCAAAAATGAATAATTCATCATAAACATGTTATTTGGTACTCATATAATCGATTTGTTTAATGCATTTAGATGCATAAACAATCTAAGACTTGAATAATTTGTTGCCATTTTGCATGCATCAATTCTTATGTCGGGAAGTTTCCATGCCACTCGTTTATTTCCAATTCTATGTAATAATGAACAAAATTAAACAAGGAGCGGTCAGTTAAAACCTTGGAACAAAGTTAAACAAGGAGCAGTCATCAAATCCAGGTGAAAAAAATTCAAGATGTTTTTAAATTGAGTCCAATTCTAACATATTTATATCGCTACTCAGTACCACGGTCTAATATTGATATTTTTCTTCACTTATAAGTGAGAGGTCTTATGTTCAATACTCACTATAGGTGAATTTGAACAACATTATTGCTAGCCTATTGTGAGGCTTAACCCACTCCCGCACCCTTTAGTGTAGATAATATCACTTGTTAAAAAAACAATTGTAACATACCTATATCATTAGAAGACTACAAAACTTTTCCAAGCGAAACATATTTAAGATGAATTAATTCTGAAGTGGTAGATTATAAAAAAAAATCTATAAATATAGGTAGCTAAAAACGATATATCCGTGATATAGGTAGATTATTGACAAAAGAAATATATGATATAACAATATTAAACAAGTAAAGACGGTATGTAGTATGGTTGAAGGGATTTTTTGTACCGTAAATATTGGATTTCATTCAAACATCATTCAAAATCATAAACATCAACATCCATGTTACAAAGAAGCCGCCTACGAAGCCAAATTTAAATTTCCCTCTAGTCATGGACGGATCCATATAGTGGCTAGGGCAAGTCTTCCTACCTGTTCTTAGAAACGTGGATTTGAATTTCCCTCTAGTCATGGACGGATCCATATAGAGACCCGGGAGGTCCCGGGACTCTCTGGAAGTCCGAAGAAACACTTGTGATCGACCTTCGGGACCCTTCAACAATTTGGGCAGGTGCAGCGGAGAGGCTTGTTGCCTCTATGGATGTGCATGCAACAATGCTTACAAAGAAGAAGAAGAGGTTTCTAATTTTTGTTTTAATCCTCCAAATCATCGTAACTTCCCAATTTTGAACTTAAGTTATCCCATCCCCCAGCACCATTTGCTGTTCCACCACCTCTAGCTGCCTAATTTTATTTCTTCCAAATTCATTTAAGTTTTTTAATCCTAAACTCTAGTCTCAACTCCCAATTGTAATATATATGTTACATTAACAAATTTCATCTTTGTAAAGTCATTAATATCGTGTTATGTTGCTGAGGAGAATTTGTTGGTTTTATTACCTTTGAGATTAATCTTGATTATTATTATTATTATTATTATTATTATTATTATTATTATTTTAAAGTGGGACAACCAGTGGTAAGCCACGGTTATCCACCCCTTCTAGGGGCCTAGAAGACTCACAAAGACATTTCAGCTTTCTCATGGCCACAGTCAAGCAGACTCACTAGCTTGGAGCCTCGAACCCGGAACCTCCCTGTTTTTGTATTTTAAGAGCCGAAATCCGCACCCTTACCACTTGGTTACTTGATGTGGTTGATTAATTTTGATTATTCAATAAACCAAATTCAATAAAAAAAATAGTGCTATGCAACCAAACTAGTCTAATATATTTTTTTTGAACTTTTATCTTGGGACCCCCTAATCTTGAAATCCTGGATCCGCCATTGGCTTTAGTACATCCTTTATACTGCTACAGGTTCGCTACTCGATTCATTTGCTTTCCACTTTCAGTACAACAACCTGAATCGATTTACTAAACAACAAAAGAAAACTGGTCTTTCAAGTTGAATCTATCTATGACATTATGAAGGAATATTACTATTTGACTCACCACGGCTATCAGGACTAATTTTATTCTTCACTAGTCTGGACTATTATACATAAAATTAATGAACAATAATTAATGATTGAATTGAGAAATACCATTTTTGTTTACTTGTCTATCTAATGAATATAAAACCAAATTACAGACTCATGAAGACTTATCCAACCATAATTTTTCTTCAATAAAAAAGACGATGACGGTGTATTTGCTAATAAAACTATAACGACGTCATTAAGTATAAAAAAGTCTTGAAAAACCGGATATTATATTGTGGATTATGAGATAACTCTTCTTACATCCCACAACCATAGAATGTAGTCATGAAAGTAAATGAAAAAATTAAAGGGGAAAAACTATAGTCTCCATAAGCGTAATTTTCCTTTGACAAAAAGTAATATAAAGTTTAGACGAGTCAACAATAATAATTAGGGGGACGTTTGTTACACCTCCTTAAGTGGGACAG